ACAATAAGAGCCTTCCTTCTAGCGCCAAACTATTGACGTTAAAAATCGTTGAAGACTTTTGTTTTTTAGCCAACTTAAAGAAGGGATTTTTCTATATTCGTTTTTGTCGACGTTTCTGTCCCCCCCTTGTTGATGTTCCACTTTTCAATATATAGGAGGGGTTCATTTTAATCCTCTTAAAATTGTATCTTGTCAATCTAATTAGTTACAGTGCTGATCTCTAATAATGTGCCGCCAATCTCTTTTGTGATTGGCTAATGATGCCGGTTCTTGTCGCATCATAATAACACCCCTATCTTTAGGAAATCATGACCTCATTCAGGATAGGTGATAGTTACAATTGATTGGTAAATGTGGGCGGTGAGGACATCATTCCCTAAAAATTGTCTGGTCAATTGGGTGATTTGACAAGGTGTAAGAAATGTGTAATCATGATATCTATTGGGATTATGGCGGCGAAGGAACCGAGCTGACCTCGAAAACACGAACTGGAAAGTTGATGAGATAGGTGCGAAATACATTTTAAATGAGATTGGAGATCGATGGTCAACATATGTGATGTAAAAATGCATTTTTGGTTAAAATGGGGATGTAATGGGGGCTAAATTTTCAATATCCATATGTGTCTTTATGGGAGATATAATTAATAGTGACGATGCTAGAGTAATTTAATGGTTTTTAATTATCAAAGAGCAATTGGGATTGGAGAGGCACTTTGAATTAAAGAAGAAAATGATTTTTGTGGTTGTGGTATTGTTAGGGGTTAAATCCAACCACCTAACTTTGTATTTAGTACACCATAGTCACTCATTTGATTTTATTTCATCATGGTTATCCAATTTTATACTTAATATCACCATGGCTACAAAATTTAATTTCGTTTCACTATAGCCACCCAATTTCATAAAACGTTTCATTATGGTCACTCAACTTCTTTTATCATTTTCACTATGATAAACAGTAACTTTTTCATTATATATAACAAATTTTAAAATAAAATAAAATAAAAATAAAAATTTATCTTAAAAATATAATAAAACAAAAACTTATTTAAAAAAAGTTACTTAAAAAATAAAATAAAAACGTTTTTATTTTATTTTATTTGTTAAGTAATTTTTTTAAATAAATTTTTATTTAATTATATTTTTAAAATAAATTTTATTTTATTTTATTTATTTTTAAAAAATTATTTTATATATAATGTAGAGTTACCGTTTTACACATTTTTAAATTAGTAAATATGGTGAAAAGAAGTTGGTGACGGTAGTGAAATGTTATATAAAATTGGGTGATCATTGTGAAACGTTTTATGAAATTGCTTAGCCATGATGAAATAAAATTAAATTGGGTGACTATAGTGATACTAAATATAAAGTTGGATAGTCATGATAAAACAAAATCAAATTAGGTGGTCATGGCGACTAACCCATTATCATTCATTTTTATAATGCGGGGAGTAATTTTTAGAGGGTGTTTGGTAGGAATTTTTATGTGAAAATGAATTTTTGAATAATAAATTGATGGGAAATGTGTGGTTAAAAAATAAGAAAAAGTTTTTGATTTACGTGTAATATTATTTTAATAAAGAATGTGTGGTTGAAAAGAAAAGAGAGAAAAATGCATTTTGATAAAAATGGGTGCCAAACAGGGCCTTACTTTATTCACTTGCATTTCATTAAAACAATAATATTTTAATCATGTGTATAAATCATTATTATTGATTTCTTGAATTCCCGAAGGTTTCTTTTGATATAAAAAGTGTTACACTTGCTTGACCAACGTGTCTGGGTGGTGTAGTTGGTTATCACGCTAGTCTCACACACTAGAGGTCCCCGGTTCGAACCCGGGCTCAGACATATTTAGTTTTTCGTTTTCCTCTCTCTCAGGGCTCCTCGTCCTATGAGATTGCCATTTCTATTCCACATGTAATTATCATCAAGGACACACCAATTCCTAATTCTCTCCAACTATTTTTACATTTCCCAGCCAAGTTCATTATCAGACTTCGCTATCAAATCAAATATTATTCCCAAGGAGATTTCCCTTATTTCTTCTTTTGTTGTGTTGAATTCGTGGTTTTTTCCTTGAATTTCTTCACCTAGGGTTTCGCGCAGTTAAATAGCTGATCGATGAATGCATAACTGGAAGTAAAATGGATTGGGGCAACGTCACGGCAGAGGATCTAATCGAGGCACTTCGCGAAGTCGATTGGTCATCCCCGCCTCGGCCTCTCTCGGAATTCTTCTCCCGATTCACTGTCCCCCATTCTTACTCCAAATGGAACAGTCGCCTCAAGTGTAATCTCTACTAGTACGATCTTTAATTATTTATCCCTACATGTGTGTGTGAGTCGGAGGAATATTTATTTATTTTCTGGTATTACGAGCTTAATGCTTTATGTGATTAATCGAGTTGTCGACTAATTAACTTCTATTATTTATGTTAGTTTTATTAAATCTGACGAGAAAGAAAAACAAATTTTTTTTGTACGATGTTTTGGTTCATCATTTGTTTGCGATATGATTTGTTTTCTTTTGATTGGAAATTGTTTATTTGTGGTGGATTAATTTGGAATTTTATCTATTTACTTACATTTACTGATATATTTTATGGTTTATTGCAGCTATCGAACCAATTACTTCATACTGATTGTGATTATTCTTGGTAAGACAACTGAATATGGTGTTTGATACTCATTCTATAGAAGCTTGCACTTAAATTTTATGTTAGCTCACGGGTACTAATAGATTTATGCATGCTTATTGTTCAATTCAGGCTTGAGATTTCTTTAATGACTTTATGAGATTTAAAAAGTTTAGGGGTATTAAATGTAAGCTTTTTGGTGTATTCAATTGAGATTTTTATAAAGTTTTGAAAAGTCTGCAAAAGTCGCGGTGTATTCAATTAAAATAAGAATTTCACATTATTGCAGTAGATTCACGTGAATTCTATTTCAAATGAAAGTTTTCAAAACACTTTTGAATTCTACAAAAGTTTATAAAAGTTTTAAAATAAAAGTTCATAGAATTCTACGAAAAACTTCCACTATTCCATATAAATCTACAAAATATCCATGAAATCCATAGAGGTCATCATTTAAAAAAATCCATCAACGTCTTCAAAAATTTCAATGGAGTACACTCACCTAAGTTTTACATTAGCTCACGAGTACTAATAGATTTATGCATGCGTATTTTTCAATTCAGGCTTGGGATTTATCAGGAGGCCACTTGCTATTGTAGCTGCCCTATTATCAGCTCTAAGCATTGCTTTTCTAAATGATAGGTGCAGTTCTATCTTGATATTTATATCATTATATGTGATGCTTTTGAAATCAAATCCGCAAGTATAATAATTACTCATTAAATCTTATTAATTTTGCGATTTAGACTATCATTTCTCATAGTTGGTCAATTGGGTGGTGCCTATCATTTTGAGAATTTACTGATATACTAATATAGTAACATACACTGGAGATGTGTTGATTCATGAGCTTTATGCTCTGTTTTTATCTTCTAGTGCAAGCAGTTTGTATCATAGCTGGTTTATAATTTTCTCTGTGTTGGAGGCAAAATTTGATTATTTTGAGTGAACTGTACCACCTATTAATCTCTTATCACTAGGATAGTTGAAGATTCAGTAGTAGCTTACTAGCTTATAATGAAATGTTTGGATATGGCAAATAAATATTTCTTTTCCTATGAAATTAACAACTACAAGTTTTGATTGTACTTTATAATCTATTAGAGGACTCGTGATATCTTTTGAGACTTTATCCAGTTTTATAATTCATAAAGGACCATTAATTGATGCATGCTTTCGACATTATTTTTTCCCAATTTCCCCCTTCTAGAACCATGTTTCTCACACTGTGTTATATGGAGTGGAGTTTGACTTACATTGAAGTACATGCTTCGTAGTTTGGTTATTTGAAAGAATAAGTTTGGATTCTCGAGAAAGCGGAATAGCTAGAAAAGAGAAATAGCTCATGATTGAAAAATTATTGCATCTCTGTGTATTTAAATTGACCAACAGGATTGAAGCACTACACCACACCACACGTGAATGAGGGAAGCAGACTTTTTAGTCAAGGACATAAAGATCTGGTTAAACCCTCACTATATAATGAGGGCTAGGATGAGCTGTTAGCCAGAAAGCTTAGCCAAACATGATTTTAGAGGAAAGTCTCAAAATAATGCAGTTCAACTTAGGCCTGTTCTGTAAGAGTAGTCTTGCTAAGGCGAGAATTTGTCATCTTAATTAGATGATCTGTTTCTTTATCATTTTTTTTTTCTAACTTCACTCTTTTCCCCTAGAAAGATGCTATAGGCACATCAATTTTCACAGCTTTTTTCACTGCACACAAATGCAAGTGTGTGGGGTCCAAGATTAAAATAATCGTGGATCCCACTTTTGTGAGACAGATGTGAAAAAAGCTGTCAAACAAATGCTGTACAAACAACAATTTTCTTTCCCCTGTCATAACATGTTGGCGGGGTAATTACTTGAAGTAAAACTTTGTTAAATTGCTAAAAAGATATTTTACGAGCCCAAGTAATTTTGTGCAATATGATATTTTGGCTAAAAAGGGATATTTAATTAAATTTTTAGCTTCACTCTTTTGTTTGGATTGTGTTGAATTTTGATTATTTATCTGCATTGTGTTTGAATGCAAAAGTCAAAATTAATCGTAGCATGCTTCACTGAGATTCTGTAGTAAGAAAGTTTTTGCTCTTGTAATGATTTCATCGGCCAAGTGCTTATTTGTTTCTCTTCTTAATTTCACATCTTTTGATGTGGGATTTGGGGGTCGATTTAAGGCATAAGGTGGTTACATGTGGCTCGGAAAAATCAAGGCTCAGATCATAGACTCACACTCAGACATGTTCTTCACAGCATATTTCTGTTTCTTCATGTTATAAAGAAAAAAATTATACTGCCAACTTTTTCTTCTCCCTCTTTCTAATTGCTCTTCTTCCATAAGCGAAGCTGTTGCTGTTCTATGCTTTTCCAACGTTTTAAGTAGTTATTTCTTTGTTCTTCTTCTCCATCTTGCTAAGATCTGTTCCTACAGCTTTGCAAGTACTTTCAGTGAAAAAGTGACGAGAACAGTCAGGCAGTTTTCTCCACATTTTGCTGCTAAAATGAGACCTTCCCATACGTAAGTACAATTATAACATTGGAATTTCTATTCGATACTGCTTCTTACTAGAATGTCTTATATATTTTAGGCCTGTTATTCGAGGGCGTCCATCTTCCAAAAGAGCTATACATATATGTGGACAGCCTCGGTGGGTATTTGTCTTGATATTTTCAACAGGTAGTGGTAGACTTTCGGTAATTCTCCTGTGGTTTCTTTCTCATGTATAACTTAAATGTTTGTGATTCCTAAAGTGAACATTGTTTTCATATTTGTTTTTTCTCCAGTGAGTTTCATCTTTTGGTTTGTCTCTTGTGGCCTTATTACTTTCTTGTGGGCTTTTGCTGTCGGCCTTCTTGGTAATGTCATGCTTTCCGTTATAATGATTTTTCTCCTATATGTATATTTTTTTGACTTTCATTTGTTTCTCTCTCTCTCCCTCAGTCACTCTTCTTCATGCAAGCTTGAGAACACCTAACCTGAAAGCTCGTTTGAACACATTTCGAGAGGAATTTCGTGCTGTTTGGCGCAATTATAGTGAGCTTTAGCTCATATGGAAGTAAATACATGTTAGTTATTGCCTTTATGCTGATTTCATTAATTCCATCATGTTTCAATGTCCTTGTAGTTTCTGATAATTATGCATTATGCTGCATTTTGCAATTGCTTTCTGCAATGAGAGTCCTTGCTTATAAGAATATTGAAATGGAGAGGAATGTGATACGAGGCTGGGTTCTTTTTACTGTAACCATAAATAGTTGACTTTCTACTGGTGAAATCCTTGAGTTGATTGTCTTTTTAAGTATGATTCAGTTTTCTTTCCCCTCTCAAATAACATTGATCATGGTATCTGGTTATTATTTTTCGTTTTAGTGGATTATACTGTTAATAGTACTATATATATTTTTCACTTTTAATTTGCAGAAAACTTAATGAGTGAGGATTATTTTATTGACATTCGTTATTGAAGCTTGGAGCAACGCTTGTGTGTATTGCTTTTTGGTTTTTGCTCGTTACCGTATTTTGACATTCACTTGATGTGTTACTCAAAAATTTTATTCCTTCCTTAGTTTTAGAAGACGTTTACTTTGCATTCTCATGATAGTAGCTGAACGAAATTGATAATTCTAGTTGTCTATCATATTATTCTCTCTTTAGGAAGAAAAAAAAGAAGCTAAATTGTTAATGATCTGCTGGTATTAAATATTTTCCGGCTTTTCAGTAACTCATGTTAGCCATAGGAACATGAAATAAAATCTCTGGAAGTTCAGTGGATACTTTATCAAGTCTGCTATAATCCTGTCAATTAAATTTTTACAGTGATGATTGCTTCCTCTCCATGTAGGAGACTCATATCAGCCATCAAGTTAATGCATAAAGCTGTTATGAGAGAGTGCTGTCTATTATGGTATGCTTGATATTTTTCTTCGTCCCAGCTGCTCAGTTTTAAGAAAAAGAGGCTGCTAATGTTCGCAGATCATTAGGTTGTAAATTTCTGAAATTCTTGTTATAGGTAAATGGACTGTACCGTTTGTAATTGATTTCAAGAAATCATTTGGGGATTCATGTACACTGTTGTCGAAAGATTTCTTAGAATGAGGTGTTGAAATCCCTACTTAGGGTGCATGATGAGATCTTGTTACTTTTCTGAAGGATAGTGATGAATAAATCTAGCAAAATTTGTGAAGGTTTTGTGCTATGCAAATCTACGCTGTGTTTTCAGCCTTTACTATGAACGGCAAGTAGCTTTGACCCGTGAGAGAAACTCTGAAACTTTTGAGTATCTATGTGAGATGGTATCTTTCGCCGAGCATATTGGTCTTCAGCTTTCAAATTGCTCCATTTTTGTTCCTGCATTACTTTGCAATCAAGAATGTCGATGTTAGTTGCTTTTGCTGCCTTGGAGTGGACCTTGGAGTGGAAAAAATGCTTATTGCTTGTTTGGCTTATAGAATGAGACAAGATTCGAAATGAAGCAAAGCCTTGTTTATCCAACCTAATATTGTGTGCTAAACATGAATTCATGCTTTAGTTGAGAGAAATTATTGCATGTTTATTTTCTAACAATGAGAAAATGAAAGCATAGATCTAGTCAAGGGATGTTACAATATTAGATGTATTTTTCGCCTCATGTTACGTGCTAAAATTGTATTTGTGGTAGTCCACAAGGGCAGAAAGGTGCAGGGAAAGAAATCACAGACCTGAAGGGAATTCATTTTATGAAGCATATCCGCACTTGTTTGGCTTGAGTATGATCCTTGAGCATGAAGCATTTCCNCACAGACCTGAAGGGAATTCATTTTATGAAGCATATCCGCACTTGTTTGGCTTGAGTATGATCCTTGAGCATGAAGCATTTCCTAGAAGGGAATTCAACACAAATTGAACAATTTTTGTCGTTCTTTCATAGCGTTTCAATATTATATTTGCCTTTTTAAGTGCTATGTATTAAATAACGACTACAAAAGTTACCCTTTTTAAATCCTAACGTGTAAGCCTGCGGTAAACATATCCCTAATAACTAAGTCGATGCTTGGTACGGATTAAAATATAAAATTTAATTTAAGTTAAAGTTAACTGTTAATTTTAACTATATATTTCATGGAATTCAAAATTTTTTTAACCACATATATTATTAACATTTATTAAAATTTTGATTTTAATCCCCTCCAAGCAGGGACTAAATATGTGTTGCATTTAGTCCTGGTTTGTGAGAGCTTAAAAAGTTGATCAAATGTTGATGTTAATTTTAAATATCCGTTTCATGGGGTTTATAACTTTCTCAATTTTTCTATCATACATCTATAATTTAAAATAAATAAATAAATTGTAAAACAACTCCTTAATCATACGTTTTATGGGATTTACAACTTTTTTCAATTTTTCTCTCACACGTTTATAAATTTTTAGGGAAATAAAAAATATTGTCAAACAGTCCCTTAATTTTTAAATTATTCTTATACTCACAAAGTAAACAAGAAAGAAGCAAGAACAACTAACATGGAATTAATTAAGTGTAAAAAAAGAAAATTCCCAGAAAAAAAGCCGAGTACACGTTTGGTTCATTGGTTGTAGGACCATGTGGGAAAAAGGCTCAATGTGGCTGGCACTATTCATCTTTGACGCTTTATCATTATCTTACTAATACTTTTGTGCTATAAAATCTGGAACCCACCATGAATAATATCAATTGGACGCTTTTATCATAAAAATATTAAATTGTATCTGATTTACTTAATTATTCCTTGAAGATCTAATTGAAAGAATTTTATATCTTTTCCATAAAGTTGTACAAAAATATTTTATTAAATTATTCGGTAAATATTTCAAAGAAGAGATTCATGTAAATACACATGCTTATCTTGCTAAAGTCTTTCCACCCACGTGTAAAAATTGTATACATTTAACAAAATAATGTATTGAATATGCATGTAAGAGAGTATCTTCAAACACCTAGAAATTTGGTCCAAATATACACTAATAAATACAATTAGCAAAATGATTTTGACTTATTATATATTTGAAGGAAAGAGATTGCGTTCAAGCGAACATCATTCCAACCCAAAATAACACCACTTAATATAAAACATCCTTTTTAAATTAAAAATTTTATCCATACGTAAATCAAGTCGATTATATATATAAATATTGTAGACAGATTTCTAGTATACTCTCTGTTCGTTTCCGATGCCCATCTGCACCACTATTTCCCTTTAAGCTTTAATAGCTTCCGATCATCTCTCTCTAAACAGTTTATAATTATACCAATATGTTTCATTCTACAAGGAATTACTACCATTATTCGTAATGGGAAATTATTACTGGAGTAGTTGGGCACAAGCTTTAGCCTCTGCATGTGGGTTAATGCTTATGATTGGTCTGGTGTGCTGCTGTCTTGGCACCAAACCACGCCTGCATGCTGACACGGGTAGCTCGACTGCTGGTGGTTGTAGTTGCGATGGTGGTCACATGTGCGTCTAGTATATTCGTGTCTATACGTATATCTCTTCCTTCTACGAGCTCATTCAGACTATGGAACAAGGAACGTGGAAAAAGGTATCAGCAACATTAATGGATGATAACCGTGACAGCTCATGTCGATCTGTTATACATCTAGCATTTGATAGACTCTCTCCAATAAGTTTCCTAGCTCTCTCATATCTACTCTTGCTTTTATTTCTCTGTCTCGATTACAAAAGTAGATTCTTTGTTATCACAATCTGGCTGAAATCTAATCAAATTGTGAGCTACTCCATTATGCATCAATTATGCTTTACTTGGATCTCTATATCCTTTCAATGAGAACTGAAGAAGCTGAGAACCAATTTGCTGAAATGCTTGCATCAATGTTCTCTCTCTTGAACGTAGGCATTGCATTTCACAGCACAGTTAGCCGTGGAAACAATGGCCTTATGACTGAATCAAAGGCCTCGGATAACATAAGAATAAAAGAGTCTTGGTAGATCCCAAATCATGAGGAGGTAATGCTTTATAGAGATTTAGCTGTGAAATATAAGTTGGAATAGGCAGTTTCACTTTAGTTAAAAATGCAGCCAATAGCATGTACACTCATGGTGAAGCAGATACAGCTCCACATCTTGTGTACATTCCTAATTATAAATGTTAAAGCGACCTGCTGAGCTATGTGCCAACATAATCTACTGAAAATACTAAAAAATGTTTCTTCAACAGTGATAAATTGCCGAGAAACAAGTATACCTTCAAATGATCTAACTTTTGCATTTAAAAACACCACCAGCCTCATAATCTGTAACTAACATAACATTCCAAACCACGATATCAAGAAAAGTAACTAATTAATACAATGGTAACACTTGATCAACTCTGGCAGACAAAATCGAAATAAATATTATTTTATAAACCATGCTAATTTTAGCACATACAAGTACAAAACAATGTCTCGGTTGACTTTCAATCAATACTGATTCCATTTCACTCGTAGTAGCACTAACATTTGAAAATTGTGCAACTAATCACACAAATCAGCAGACCAATCCCTTTAATTTGAGTAAAATCTGTAGATGGGTATCTCAGAGATGAACTTGGGTTGAAACTCCATAGATGGCACACCTTGGAATTCCAAAATTGGACAATTTTATCGAGCTGCACATTTGACAGTTTATGTGGCAAAGCTACGGTCTCCTGCGTCTCCAAGTCCAGGAATTATAAACCTGAAGAAATGATGAAATGATTTAGGCAGTTATTATATTATACCAGCTTCTGCTAACTGACAAAGTTGAAATATAAAATTTGCTATACCCTTTCTCATTAACAGTGGGGTCAATAATTCCAGCATATACTTGAAGCCTGACAAACAGGACAACAGCAGTTAGTAAAACCAAAATATGCAACACCTAATGCTGCGATATATTTCTTTTGGAATTATTATTACCCAGGAAACTTCTCACTGAGCTTTCGTAGGGCAGGAGGAGCAGCAACGGCAGATATCTAATAAAAACACAGATTGTGAGGAACCGAGGCTGGAAAAGATACAAAATTGGCAAGCAGCAGCAGGCACCTTCCTGAAATATAAGCTAAATACAAGAAAATATAGACTTCACTAGGATACGTAGCAGCAAGAAAACTTCACTTTGGGGGTACACTACGGATCTAAATACACTCAAAAGAGGAATTTTAGAAAGTCCTTAGAAAATGGAAACATCATTGTAAGTACTAACCACTTTGACTTGTTTGTTTTCAGCACCACGCTCCATTATAAGTTCAAGAGCTGCAACTACTGTGCCACCTTAACATAATAGGTAAGGAAGTTAACAAGCCTGGTGTAGACAATATTGAAGAAAAAAACATCAATCAAGCACTACCTCAAAAATACAGTAGATTATAGACCTTACAACCGATACATTCTTGAGGAGCCATGTGTGTACATTTGCCCATGGGCAATAAGAAATGACATACACACCAACAAGTGGATGTTGCACCATTTGGTATAAGAGAAGCAAAGGATGTTTTCGTTGGTGTATATGTCGCATTGACTTAAAGAAGTTCATATTCACCAGAAAAATGTGGTCCTCATAAAAAGGGTTAGAACAGAAAGATGTGGACTATAATTAATATCACCAAACATGGTTGCAAAAATATTTGAATTCAACAAACCTCTCGCAAACAGAAGTAATACTGGATCAAGCGGAAAGCCAAAAAAGAATTTAAGCCATCCACCCTGTGTTTATTAGAAATAAGGAGTTTGATACTGGTATGTCACCTTTTCAAGCCTCCTTATAGATTTATTCCAATCACAGAAAATAGATTCCATCCTCTTAATTTATGTGTCAGAAAACGTGGTAATAAGTCTAATCAGAGCATCATAATCCAGAGGTCCTAAATGGCTAAGAAAGAAATGGGGAAAATATCACGGCATCAAAGAGCATTTAGGACTACCACATTTCCATCGACACTAATGTCAAATCTTATAAGTTAAAAATTAAAGAGCATCATAATCCAGAAGTTTTAGGACTACCACATTTCCATCGACACTAATGTCAAATCTTATACATTAAAAATTAAAGAGCATCATAATCCAGAAGTCCTAAATGGCTAAGAAGGAAAAGGGACCATGGAAACTGTGATTCTAACCAAGAATTTGATTATATGGTGCGTATTATTTGAAATGAATAGACTCTAACCAAGAATATGATTATATGTGGAGCGTATTATTTGAAATGAATAGATTCAGGCTCTGTCACAATTCATTATAACTGTCCAATGAACAAGAAGCTTAAATCTTAATAATCCAGAAGTCCTAAATGGCTAAGAAGGAAAAGGGACCATGGAAACTGTGATTCTAACCAAGAATTTGATTATATGGTGCGGTATTATTTGAAATGAATAGACTCTAACCAAGAATATGATTATATGTGGAGCGTATTATTTGAAATGAATAGATTCAGGCTCTGTCACAATTCATTATAACTGTCCAATGAACAAGAAGCTTAAATCTTGAGCATTACACAAAACAGGGAACATCAGTGGCAATGGAAACATGGTAGCAAGTCTAAACAGAGTGGAATACTCAGCAGCAAGTGCAAAGTGGCAATACATTTAAAGGCACAAGCATGCTTGGGTAATATCTAAAATTTATAGAGAACATAAGGAATCAGAATCATATAACATATTCAGCAAAAAATTGAACCATGAAATTGTATCAAAAGAAAAAGTATCAACACCTGTGGCAAGCATAGGATCTACAACAAAAACTCGGCAACCTTCAGGAAATCTCTTAGGCAACCTGAGAAACGCACAAAATCTATTAGAGTTCTTATCATAAGGTAGATCTCAATGGAAATACTAATAACAAGGAAACAAAACTTCTTTCAAACCAAAATGGTAAAAAAATCACAATCAACATAACACATTCCATAATAGCCTCCAAATGCAGTTAAACCACGTAAGATGAATTTAAACTAAAAATTCTACCAATACTGTCTACAAAGAATGCTTACTTGTTTAGATATACAGTAGGCTGAAGCGTTTCTTCATCTCTGCTAATGCCTTAGTTTGTATACAGAATTAAGAATCAAGGGCAACAAGCACGGTCAATTTTGACAACATGGGAGAAAATTAAAATCAAACTTCAATATATGTAGAATAGTCCAGAATAGAGAAAGTTATATGGGAAAAAATTAACTACAAAAGAGTATCACAAGAATGAATTCATATGAAAGAAAAGATTCAAAATTAAAGCGTCCAGTTAGTTTGATAACCAAATTTATCTATGACCCATTTATGAATCACATTTTCCTTTACCACATTACTAGAAAGTTCTAAACATTCCCATACCAAGATGATATATTTTCATTGCTGGCAAAATAGATGATGCATGCTCTGCCAAAGCAAGACCTGCTCTCAAGATGGGAACAACCTGCAGACCATAAAAATATTGAACACATTACTTCAGAGCAATAGAAATCGTTCTCTACAATAATCGTTATCAGAAATATGAGAACAATATAGTTACATAATTTTTATAAAAATCTAGAAGGCAAGATTGAATAATGTTGTAACAAATTTCTCTGTATAAATATCTTGAAACCATGACATACATATCAGAAGCTGCATGCAGGAGCACACACACGAGCAAGAGTAAGCGAGGTAGAGAAGAAGTGAAAAGACTAACCACGACCGGATCCCTTGGATCAATAAATTCTACAGAGGCAACACTCATTGGTGTCTGGATCTCTCCACCTACTGTGGGCTGAGAGCAATTCAAATAGCAACGAAAATTAAAAATGAATTGGTGATAAACTTCTGGGGCAAGAGTAACTTTCTTGAGCAGCAAAGTTTATAACTTGCCAATTACAACTTTTACATTATACTTCTAAATTCAAAAGGAACTAGGTAAGATAAATAAACCTATTGCCTTTAAAGTTTAATAATGCAAATTTCTTTATTGTTCTATTGTGGTGTGGAAATTATTAAATCTAATAAAATTACATAAACATCTTTGCTCACCAGCCAATCTCTCGATGCCTCGTATATAAGCAATCTCCCTAGCTCGGCCATGGCATTCTCTACAAAGATTAATAAAATAGACATTCAGAAAAAAATTTGGGCCTTTTTTACTCCAAACCTCCCATAGAAAACAGAAAACAGTGAAAGGGCTGCCATGTCCACTACATTCAACAGGCATGAAACAAAAAGCATGCATTCCCATGCACATGCCGACCATTATGACTTGTATACCAGTGCTTATCAAGCATGAAGATTTTGACCTTGACTTTATAAGCATTCACGAAATTGCATTAATGAAAGTAAATTCACAACCACAGATTAATGCAAAACCAGTATAACCTCTTAATTTATTGCACAAATGTCACAGAGGAAGTAAAGTGATGATCTGCAACGAATTCAATCAGATTCTGTAATAAACAAAAATATTACATATCTTCATTTCAATCTATAAACGAGGCATATTCTCCAACTCCATTCAAATTTAATAACGTTTTAAAAAGGTTTGAAGTTAATTTGTTGCACAGTTTTATTTTTATGTTAAATTGGACTTACTGAAGATTGGACAAGGCGTCTCTTCATTTCGAAGAACTGAAATCCAGTGCTTTATCAGAGGATGCGGGGGAACAAACACCTAAAAAAACATTTTATTTTAATCCAATCCAGTCACCATTTGGTTAATCGAACAGACAAATTAGATAGCGCCCGTTTAGCTATCAATACATCAAAGATCAAGAATTTAAAAAAAAAAAAAGTTCTTTTTCCTTCATTTCTTGAACCACATTCTATCAGCATTTAAAAACAGTAAACTAAGACTAACATCTTGAGACACAGGTCTTTGCTCCATCGTCGTTCAGTAAGCAATTCAAAATCTATACAATGGCAATAAGAAATCTGTCACAATGGCAATAAGAAAAAGAATATAAAAATCAGAAAATTAGGGTTCTGGAAAGTGAATGACTGACTGCGCCTGTGTAAAGTGAAAGCTCTGTCGGGAATAAAGAAATTGGAGACTACGGTAAGCCTTTCCGCATGTAACTTCTCTTCCAATTTTCTATATTTGTAAATTATTTTTTAAAAAACTAACATGGATTGGATTTTATAGTTGTGTATTTTGGATTCCATAATTGATTAAGGTGTTTGACACCCATATTTATGGAAAAATAAATTTTAAAATGGTAAATTGATGAAAAATGTGTGAAAGAAAAATAAGGAAATTTTTATTTATTTATGTGTAATATTATTTTAATAAAGAATATATGGTTGAAAAGAAGAAAGAAAAAAATAAATTTTGAAAAAAAAAGGGAATCAAACGAGACCTAAAAATATTTTGAATTTTGAATTGATTTTTGAATTTATTATGGAATCTTCCAAGGGGTGTGTATTTGGTTCCGTCATAGATAATTGAGTGTAGGACTGGACATAGTTCAGTTCCATCTAAACTCGAATTTTCGGGTAGTTAGTAAGTGGAAATGTCGAGTCCAAAATATGATTATAGAATTGTTCGGGATTCAATTCCGTTGGTTCTCGAGATCATATTATAATTAAATTTTTTTAATATTTGTTAAGTTACATTAATTCAATTAATGACATGTTTAATCTTAATTCTTGTAAAATAACGTAATTCAATTTTATGCATCTTTTGCATTTCTCTTTGTTGAGTTCTATATAGAATTAATTGTTAAAATTACAAGAAGAGAAAGATGATCAGCTCAAATAATGAAGAGATAAGTAGCCAAATTTCAATTCGATTCTCCAAAACATTAGAAATGACACTACGGTAGAATAATATATTTGGATAAAACTTAAGTCAATTTGATCAAGTTATCCTTGAACTACAAATTAGAAATGGAAAAAATCTTATATTTGAGTTTAGGCTAAATTAATTAGTTAGTAAATTTATTTAAAAATATATATATATATTTGCTTATTTAAGATAAATAAATTTATAAAATTAGGGAGATTCAATTCTTATTTGATTTTTCGGTTCTTGATCTAGAATCGAGAATCGAATTAAACTCTACTTGATTCAAATACACGTTCAAGTATTTAACTTAAAAAAAAAAAACGCTCAGTAAGATTTGATTAGGATTAGGTCTGATCTAATTCAATTTGGGAGTTTTGTCCACTTTACTATTAAAAATACGCATGCCTTCAATTTGTTTAAAGATCGAGAAGGTTTTTTTGGTGGGTTTTGTTTTAAATGGAAAAGTTAACTCGAGCCCCGTTTAGCCCTCATTAAAATATATTTTATTTTTCTCTCTCCTATTTTTAATCACACGAAAAATTCACTCTACTATTAAACATACACATGCCATCAATTTGTTTAAAGATCGAGAAGGTTTTTTTTGGTGGGTTTTGTTTTAAATGGAAAAGTTAACTCAAGCCCCATTTGCCCTCATCAAATTATATTTTATTTTTCTCTCTTATTTTCAATCACACGGTCTTCCATAAAATAATATTACAAGTAAATCAATATTCTTTTCTTTTTTAATCACTCTTTTTAAAAAAAATAATAATTTATTCGACTCATTTTAATTTGAAAAAATAGGGACCAAACGGAGACCCAATCAAGTTCTTTTCCCGAAATAAATGTCACCAACTTTTGATTGATTTGCAAAAATTTTCAACCATCCTACACGAATATTGGATTTGACATCGGAGATGACTGCATACACACACATAGGGTCGGACATTATTTTATTCACACGAGATCCACACATCCATGTGAGTGTACAGACATCGATGCGGTCATTCTCGCTGGTCATTTGACTTTATTCAACATTTTTATAACAGTATAATTGGAGCTTTGGGCGTGGTGATGGAATCGACTGGACTTGGGATGAGGCGTGAGGGCTGGAGTTGATGGCGAGGAGAAGTTTTGGTTTGAATTTGCAAAATGATCCCGGTGCCGGTGATAATGGCAACAGAGTTGGAGTGGGTTGAGGTGACCTTTTCTCCTTTTTCCTTTGACGCCCTTTTCTTGTTTCTTTTTGTTTAATATTCTTCTTTTAGTAATTGCATAATAGTCCTTTTAAACATTAAATTCGACCCATGAGCATGTCTAAGTTTGGGACAGGCCTAAACAGCTCATGCAAGTTCGGTGGGCTGCAAAACTTGTTATCACCGGCAATCTTTTCATGTTCTATACCATCGATGGCAATTTACACACGGTTATGCTCTAGAATTATGCCATATCTATATCATTTTCTTTACATACATCATTCATGTTGTCAAGAATTGATTGGATGAAAAACTGTTTTATTTTTAAATTGTCCAATGGTGTGACACGTGGCAAAGTGTAAAAAAATTATGTGAAATATAATGTACACCAAACATGATTGTACAATTTACGTAGGTCTTATCCCACTACATTATGGCACGAGTTGACAACAAAATAACAAACTTCTAAAAAACTTAAAATGGCAAAAACATTTACTTCAAATTAACTTTTAACCTACATATAATCGAATCCTTTTATCCTGAAATCGATAATCAGCACTAGCAATACAAGTGGTTTAATTTGGCCCCACGATGCTTGGTGTACAATGATTTTGACAACATGCTATGTTGCCATTGGACAGATTAAAAAACAATTCATCTTTTCAACCAGCACTTTTTTAACACAACCAACATTGTCAACAACGTTGCACAAAAATATTGTACATATAAATTAATTCAATTTGGACACATGGGGCTAAGGCATTGTATGTGGTTTACGATCATAGTCATCTTGACAGCCAACCTTCTGAACTAGAAAACATAAATATTAACCTGAATTAAAGATACATACCTCACTTTCATAATCACAGGAAAGCCTGTCTAAAACATGCACTCAGCCAGAGTAAAAAACTTAAGATAACCAGAGCTCTAAAAGAGGTTTTCCTTGTCCACACGTCTCCACGCAGTTCAGTACAGTTTCTCTCAACTGTTTTTCAACATCCTCAATCGGAAGTGAGGCGTTTATATTCTACAAGATAACAAAAGAGGCCAACATTATTGCATAATAGTTTTACCACCCAGAGTAATGGCATCTGATCGTAAAAGCTTATTAGAGTCGACTTATGAAAAGGAAGTGGACATTTTGTTCTATGGCAAGGAAAATAACAGTGAGTCAACTCATAAATTATCAAGATACTGCAAATTGAAGATTTAATAAGCGACATAATATGTCATACACTAATACATTGTGAATCTGAAACTAGAAGTTTGTGTCAAAGGGAACGTACTAACCCCATCAGAGGTCTGAGATTAACTCAAAGATTGCATCAACTGGTTTTTAGACTTCTGGCACATGTATTTGTATAATTTCACAATTCTACTTTTTAAAATTTCAGACTTTTTCACACACTCAATCGGTGGCATGCTGAAAATATAGAAGTATCAGAAAGGGCTAAATTTTCATTACCTTCCATGAGGCATCACGAAGAGCCTTAAATGATCGGGCAACCTTTTTCTGAAATTCAAGCTGCTCATATCTTTCTTCTCCATAACCTCCACGTTCAGCAGCTTTCTAAGAATTTCAAAAGCAAGTTTAATTAGAAAGAAGGCGTAATATCATAAGAATACACATTTGACACACGTGATGCTTATACAGATAGAGATCAAAAGAGTAAGAAAAGAATGTATAACAAGACTGTTATGTTCAACTCAGTGAATAATGGCGCAAGGGTTCCAGAATACGAGTCTTCTCCAGTATGTTACCTCTACAAATGCACGTAAATAAAATTAGACTTAGTCGCATACCATGAAGGTATGTAATACACTGCAAATTCACCCTAAATAGATACTTTGAAACCACAAAGAACAATGCAGTAACCTCAACACATTTCTTCATTAAAACATATAAGATGCCAATATAGATTCAAGGCTGTTTGGAAATTCAATGTTATAAATTGCACATAAAAGAGCACATCCAAAATTACTTACTTCTGGTGATATGTCAAGATATAATACCAGATCAGGAGCTAATAGGCCTATTTCTGGAGCCTGCGCAAAAGACATCATAATTTAACTAGCTTCAAGAATTATATTTCAAACTTAGCAGTAGGATATAATATATTTAGCCTGTTTGAAAAAGCTTTTTGAGACTATAAGCTGACGGATCCCATAAAATGAGTGGTTAAACCGTGGATAAAAGTTGTGAGTCTAATGAAATGTGTTGTTAGAAATGGAGTTTCACTAGCTTAAAATCTGAGAAAAGCTTTACTAAACAAGAGCTTAACATCTTATAATAGTAACACCGAAGATGTCTCTACCTTACACCACTCCATATCGAGTCCTTTGGCAGATGAGAAAGCAACCCCAGAATAAGAGTAACGATCAATAATAAGAGTGGTTCCACTCTTCAGCTTCGACTCCATCAGCGATCTACATCAACAGTCAGCAATCAGGTATCAATCTTTGAACTTTAATGTGACTTCAATCAAGTGTTATTTTGAATAACTATTTTATGTCCCAAGATAGATTATGCGTATGAAAAGTAACAAATGTCACCCAAACTGAAAGGCAGCCAAACTAAGCTCGATTGTTCCCTTAAATGAGGGTCCAGTTCACAAGAAAAGGTGTGCAGAGTAATAATTCAAATTCTACAGAACTACAAACATTAAATATTTGAATAAATTTATGGATTAGGCCGTACAGAGCGGATGTGCAAATATGGATATAATGTAGGTAGTGTTGCATCTTATACGTGTCTCACGTTCTCTTTCATTTAGAGGCATGCCATATCCTTGCATTAATTTACCCTTATTTTTTTGTGTACAAAAACACAATTACCTGACATGTGATGCGGAATCCAAAGAGCACATTTTAGTGAGAATCAACTTCAATATGCATATGGCCAAATGTTGGAAACCATCACACAAAAACTAACCTCTTGATGTAGGATGAATAAAAAAGAAAGAAGAAGGAACGGGGAGAAGAAACAGAGAGAAGGGAGAAGAGGAGAAGAAACCAGAGGAAGAGAGGGGAGGGAGAAAACGGCTGCAAGCCACCAAAAAATATTTCAATTCTAATTCATCATCAACTGTCTCAAAATGAGAAACAAAACAGAAATAAATAGCAGAAGATAAACCCTAAAGAGAAGGGCTTGGGCCAAACCCACTAAACAAACCCAATAATGAAAACATAAACAATAGTCCAAATAAAATATAACTAAGAGTCCAAATAGAAAATAAATAATAAATGGATGTCCGCATCAACTCTCCCGGGGTGGGAGAAAAACTCGACCCCGTCGAGTAGATAAAGTAGAATGTTGCACTGAATCTGATGCGAAAGGCTCCAAGTCATGTCACGGGAGACGATCTTTCTCGATGACCAAATACCGAAACTCCACAAATGATAACAAGGATAGTTGTAGCTTATCCTCAAGGATATGATCTAACCAAGGAGGACGATCTTTCTTTGTAATCACATACCGATACTGAACTCCCAATAGTAAAAATTCATGCCACTCATCCCCAAAATCTTCCTCATTGGTCAACACAACCTGTTTATCTAAAATAACATCAATTACATCTTTGTGTGCTGTGACATGTGTTATTGGAGTGAAAATGGTAATATCTTTAGGTTGGGGATCAACATAAGGAAGTAGAAAAGGATCATCAAGGAAATTAAAAAGGCCTTTGTAAGTAACTAAGTCTTCAATATGTAAAGTAGAGTGGTGGCCAAAATGTGATGAAAAATTAATGACATGTGCGTATGGACCAACATGCTTTAAAACTTTAAAAGGACCAACACTACCGGCTTGCAATATAACATAATCCCCAGTATGAAATTGAAAATATTGTTTATGCAAATCAGTTTGAAGTTTATATAATGTATTACTAGCGTGAAGTTGTTTATTAATCTTAATATGCAAGTCATGAAGATGATGCACAAATGCTTCAACTGATATCGACACACTAGCATGTGGGGACATGGAAATAAGGTCTAACGGCCGCCTAGACTTATAACTATGAACAGTTTCAAATGGATTCAAACCTAGAGACCGATTTACAGAATTGTTATACGCAATTTGAACAGTTGGGGGAATCAAGTCCCAATTTCTAAGAATTTTCTGGACTAGAGACTTGAATAAATTGCCAGGACTTTGGTTAACGACTTCATTTTGACCATCAGTTTGAAGTTGGTCAGTAGTGGGGAATGTTGATTTAATGCTAACCACAGGCGATTGGATTCTCCAAGGGTGGTCAGCGAAATCATCAAGCTCTTTGAGTTGTGCAAGGGTATGACATATAACATGTGACCGAGAGTTGTCAGAAACAAGGGGTATAGTATCTAAAGTCTCGGGAAGAGTCTGGAGTCCACCTAAAGAAGTGTCCTCACTATCATCCAAGTTATCAAAATCTTCAAGTTTAGGTTCATAGACTAGATCTTCTAATGGCATATCTATTACATTCTTTCGTTCTTCCATGACTAAGGTTCGATTAGTACATTTGGAAGAAATGTGGCCAAAATCTTTACAATTGACGCACAACAAGTGAGAAGAAGACCTTGAAGTTTCAGAAACTCTACCCTGATTTTCTAAAATTGGAGAATCATTAGAAGGGGGAGGTCCTAGAAGGGACTTAACGGGAGGAGGTGGAGCCAATGAAGCCAAATGATGATTATAAAAAATTTTACCCTTATTTTTCAAAATTAGAGGAACATCAGATGGGGGAGGCCCTAGAAGGGACTTAACGGGAGGAATTGGAGCCAATGACACCGAAGGATGATTGTCAATATGCTTGCTACATGGAAAAGGAGATTGTGGACTATCACGACCTTTACAATTATTTTTCCAAATATGAGGAATATTAGACGGAGACGGTTTTATGATAGACTTATGATGAGGTGACGCTAATGAGATGGGTGAGCGACGATGACCACGCTTTTCATATGGAGTACTAATAATCAACTCATAATCTCGAGCTAAAGAGTAAGCGTGATCAAGAGTAGTGACACCTCGAAGGAAAAGCTCGCGCTTAAGATCATCTCTCAGACCTTAGCTAAACCTACTCAAAGTCATGCTCTCATCCTCAATTAAATGACATTTGATTCGAAATTCCTCAAATTGCGCGATATACTCAGTCACTAATTGATTTCCTTGTTTAAGGGCATTCCATTGAGTAAGAATTTCAAAATTATCTCGTTCTCGCTCATGAATCTGATCCCTATTCCTATCCCTATCCTTACAATCGGGTCGAAAGTATTTTTGATTACCTTGTCGACGAAGTTGTCTATTATGGGACACCTTAAAATTATTAACATCAATCGAATGAGGGATGTGTTTAAAATTTTTCGAACTAATAGATAGGGCCTTACTCTCTTCAAGAGTAGCGGTCATTTGAGTTTGAATAGCCGCTATTTGTTGGGTGAGTGCATAGAATTGTGAGGGGTTCATGTTTAAGGTACTAGAGCTAGAAGTGACAAGATGACCAATATGTAACTACATGCAAAGCAATACTACCAAAATGAAATGCAATAGAGAGACCTATATGCATCAAGGACCAACGATTAAAACATCAATTTGAAATTCTCTCTCTTTTCTTCCCTTCCAAAAATGCAAGTTAATAGTGCTGATACTTGTAAATAATAAAGCAAGGGTCCAATGCTTGTTAAGATCTAATGGTATTGTCAAGATTTCCAATCAGGTAGAATAAAGAGGTAACAATGGCACATCAATTCAGTGAGATAAATGGGGCAACAATGGCAAGTCAATTCAATGAGTGATTCCAGTCAAGTGAAGTTTGAGGCCAAAGTTGTGATAGTAACAGCAACACAAAGAATCTAAGTGATACACTTTTAAAATAAAACAGCAGTATAAACCAATGAGAATTAGGAGATAGCAACTCCCTGTAGTCTAGTTGCCTGAATTGCTAACGATTGGGCCTCTGATTTGCCTGTGTCAAATGTCTTCAGCTCCTGAACTCACGGTCATTGCATATTCTAAATTGTTGGCTTCACTGAAATTGGACAGATGCAGAAATAGAAACCTCTGTGTAACTGAATGGGTTGCTTGGTAGTAGAGACAGTAAACTGCTTGATCAATGAAGTTGGTGGAAGATAGAAACGCCGGGGATAGAGGCGTCTGAGTGGGTGGGTGTCGGTGATAGAAATCTGTAGAATGTGTTGAAGAAGACGGCAAATTGGATTATGTATATGGTTGACTGTGCTGATTTGAAGTGGATGCTTGGGTACAATAGATAATGAAGTGGTAGCGTGTGATGGTGATTAGAGGCGATGGCAGCAAGAGAGTGGTTGTGAGAGAGGAATCGGGTGAAACTGTGGGATATTTGATGTTAATGGATTGGTTATAATCGGGTTTGGTCGGATATTTGGGACTGGGTCAGATGGGAAGGGGTTTGGATCCTGTTATAGAGATGGGCCAGCTGGGGTTGGTGTTTGGAGAGTGGGCCTGGGTCGTAAAGAGTAGGCTGGGTTAGTTGGACTAAATGGGCTTGAATGCTAGGGGTTGAGATTTGTGGAACAACATTACAATTTTTTTTATGAGCAGCAGAAAAAAACGAAAATTTTTTTTTTGGGCGTGAACAGTAACTTTTTTTTTTTTTTTTTAAGAAACTGGCCAAAATACTAAACTGAAATTCTGTGTGAACAATACCGCGATGAACAGTAATTTTTTTTTTCAACTAAGACTGAAAATTGAAGAAGAAGAAAAAACTGCTGCCTGTACCAAATATTCTTTTAGTTCGTGCTGTTCCAACAGATTTTGGGAAGGAAATATGAATAAATTTTGGATTAAAGAAAAGAAATTACCCATGGTTCGGCTCTGATACCAAATTTGATGTAGGATGAATAAAAAAGAAGGAAGAAGGAACGGGGAGGAGAAACAGAGAGAAGGGAGAAGAGGAGAAGAAACCAGAGGAAGAGAGGGGAGGGAGAAAACGGCTGCAAGCCACCAAAAAATATTTCAATTCTAATTCATCATCAACTGTCTCAAAATGAGAAACAAAACAGAAATAAATAGCAGAAGATAAACCCTAAAGAGAAGGGCTTGGGCCAAACCCACTAAACAAGCCCAATAACGAAAACATAAACAATAGTCCAAATAAAATATAACTAAGAGTCCAAATAGAAAATAAATAATAAATGGATGTCAGCATCACCTCTTCTCCCAACGATTCGCATTGAAAAGAAGATGGATTGTGTGATCATCCAGATGTGATTTATTGCCAAGATAGGAAGAAATCATTTGCCCAACATTTGTAGTTCTATCAGGAAATCTCCAAGATTCAACTGCACGTCCTAACTCTTCCAAGTAGGAAAGTAGTCTGCTTGATTGAGAAGTTTTCCCACATCGATCAAGCCCTTCTAGAACAATTAAAGCACCCCTTGAATCACTGCTTCGTTTATGTTCCATGTGAATCTGTCTTGATGAGCACTTGAATGGAAATTTCAACCCGTAGTGAAAACTTGTTGATAGTCGTCCTGCTGCTGTTGCAAATTTTCTACAAAGAACAGCAAGTGATAAGCAACAGCCATAAATTACAAATGAATTTCAACAATTTGTCATATTTCACAACAAAATACACAATCCTATTACATGTTAAGCATGTGAAAGCTATAGCACCATTCAGTTTCACTTTTTCCAATAGATTTCTTTCTTACCTTGGCCATCGAGACACACATCCAAAACCCATAAAAGCATTTCATCAAACACCTTATAAACGTGCTGCAGGCTAACAATACTCTCACAAAGGAGGTCACTAACTTATCTAAATAACAATTTACCCTTCTCGGGTCTACAACTGAATTTTTTTCATTTTTGTAGATGACTATAATCTATGAAAGTGATGATTAAAAAAAATGTATTTCATGATCAATTGAAACGACACATATTAGTATGATTAACCAAACAAAATAAGAACTTGTGCATAATAAAATCTTACAAAGCTTTACAAACGGAGAAACAGCAAGCATGTGTCATTTCTTACGCTCCAAAAAGATTTGGCAGAGAGTATACTACAAATATTGGCAGATCCACTCAGACAAATCCAGTAAATTATGAAGTAAAAGCTAGTAATGATGCATGAATTAAACCAGAAAAATGAGATTTTGATCTGTGAATTAATAAAAAGAAAATGACTACCTGTTCACCCATAAAACATGTTAAATTATTATATCGAATTGTGTAGTTCAAAGCTAAGAGTAACGTTGCTTTAATAATACACACTTAATTGACTCATTCATAAAAAGGCAAAATTCAGCTCTTATGAGAATAATTTTGAGTAAATAATACAGGGATCACGTAGCACATATAAGTGATGTAAATATAATATACGTACAAACTGAATTTTACAAATTCAAGTGGAGAGAAAATAATTATTTCAATAAATATTTGAAAAAGATTCTTTAAATGGTTAAAAGCGTACGTGGTTGCACTAGAATCGCATTTTATTCTTTTATTAATTCAACAGCAAGAGCATTAACAAATCTAAAAAATTTAAAAAAACAATAAAAATCACGCTTTCACCAACACTGTTAAGCGATTCCCCATGCATTAACTGGTTTTGTTGAGGCATCTTTTAGCCCCATGTTTGAACCTCTTTTTTTTTTTTTTTTTTTTTTTCAAATTCATTTTCAGTTAAGTGATTCTCGATCTCATGTGCTCGGCTCAATCCATGAGCGGCTCGAATTTATTTTGAGACAAGTCAAAGGTCGAGTCAAGCTCACATTATTTTTCATGAGTTGAGCCTGAGTCCAAACCTGTCAACTCATCCAAGCTCGTGGGTCAATGCATTTTTTACCCCATTCTTGAAATTTTTTATTGAATTTATAAAAAGTTGCTTACTGTGGACTTATTTTGTTGATTTATAAAAAGAACATCGAATCGGCACGTTCATTGCTCACTTGTAAATTAGCTTAAGCTCAACTCGTGAAAGGGACGAGCCGGGTTCACGGTTATAATTATCAATAAAATAATTTTACACATCAATTTAAAAAAATTGTTACTTTTTAGCAACACATTCTTTTAAAAATTAACTATTACAAAACTCATTTTTACAAAAAAAAAAAAATAATAATAAGTAATTTTCTTAATTTTAGTTAGAATGATTAAAGAAAGATAAAAAGAATAAATCAAAAGAAAATAATTCAGAAAAAAAGGGAAAAAAAATCTTTAATTTTTTTCAAACGACTAGCCCTTAGACCCGTGCCCCCCGCCACCATCGGAGAGAAAAATCTGAGAAAACCTAGTGATAATTTTGCAATCGTATATATGGTGTTTTAGTATCGATAATGCCCACTAACATGGAACAATACTTCTCAAAAACTAGGGTGGACTACGAAGGGCAAGGCTACCACGTGATTTGAAAAATATCATTTTCTAAGAAAAAGTTGAAATGATAATTTCAAATAAAAAATTGTTTTTTTTCAAAAAATAATTACAAAAAAGGCAAATTGTAATATATTGATTTTTAACGAAAATGTGGCATTTTTCTAAAAACTGTAAAATGATGTATTTTTCAATTTTATTTAGATAAAAGCAGGATATTGTTATTATTTATATAACCATCAAAACCAACTTCGAGCATCAACCAGCAAAGGTAAATAATCAAGGATCAAAATAGGGATCAACCAATGATCAAAAAAATTTAATTAATATATACAAAAAAAATATTAAAAAAATCTTTTTGAAATATAACTAGGAAAACTAGTAAATTGGATCCAGTTTCGACTCCATGAATATTCTAATGGTTTTTAAATTTAATGTTTTTCCAGTTAAATAAACCAATCATTCTTAATTTCTTATTATCGATTCTTATAATATTGAAATATAAATTATATATTTTCAGTACACAATGTTATCAAGTCTCACTAGTCGAGTAGGCTTCACGGTTCTAGTAACGAGCATAACATACGAGTCCCATGTTTATACACCCTTTTCGTCTCAATTCAATACTTAATAAATTGAATATACCAATTTGAAGACAGTTAAAAACTTTCCGAGGTCAATGTTATACTAAGTATCAAATGTATCCTAGACATAATAAGATTGTGTGACAACAATTCACTTTTATATGTTCTTTTATTTTGTCTAACGTTAATATAATCAATTTTATGTACGAAAAGAAAAAAAAATTATAGTACTATCAAAAATAATTGAGACTCGGACATAATGAATACATTATTTTATGGTATAAAGATAGAAGTAACGATATCGATATCATTCAGAACTCTCGATGCAAGAAATTCGAAAATAATAAAAATAAAATTATAAACAAATTGGTAAACAGGGATTAAACTTTTGCTACAGTCTCATGTCCAACTTTTGCATGTTTGAGTTCTACGTGGATAAAAAAATAAATTAAAATACGCACAAATGCTATAACAACTTCAACAATCTCCATATTGCTTTTGAACACCAAAATCCAGAATACAAATTGTCACAAGAATTAAAATTAAATTAGATTCAAATCGATAAACAAGGACTTAAACTTCTACAATCGACTCTGGTGCAACTTTTGCCTGTTGCTTGAGTTCCCTACGTGCAGAAAAAATAATTGCACATGCTACGACAATTTCAAAGATGCCAACAATGACAATCGCAATGCTACAAATCAAGAATTTGAGGGACGTAGTTTGGGATAAAATCATCATTAAAGTTAACCCCAAAACTAAAATAATAAGTAGGAAAGCGAAACATAAACAAAATATAAATCGTAAGAGTAAATTGGTGCCTTCGTCCATTGATGTCACAATTTTGAACCTTCCAGCGATCCTTTTGCGTGGCGATCCCTCAAGTTATTAACAAGTAGTTTGTTGTAAAATAATAATAAAGGCTTACACTTTCGTTCATATCTATATATAATAGTTTTCAATCGTCTAATTTAATTGCAATAGCTTTGTCCTACCACAAATCAAATTGTTATGATTAGACTCCTACTATAATCACTCTTGCCCAGATATTAATAAAAGATAATATAATCTGATTAATATGGGAGATTGGATTCACCAAAAAAGAAAAAAGGAAAGCAAAAGAAAGGCTGTGAGATCCTGCCCAACCTGCCATATTAACTATTTTACTATTTAAAAAAAGGAAAGTTTTAAATATATCTCAAATACCTAATTTTAATAGAAACTTTAAAATTGATTACATTCGACATGTCGACATTCTTTAATTATAATATATTTGCTTTCTTCGTAAGAATACAAGTTTGATAAGAATTCAGCCCCCAACTTTTCTTTAAAATCTTCTCATACCTAAGTTTTCCAAATGTCTCTCTGCTTAACTTATTAGGAGGGAATGCTTTTTAGGGACCCATCTCAACTACTCGAGAAAAATCAACTCAACCAATAAAATAAATTGAGTTAGATGACACAGTTTACAAGCATTAGCTAAGAAAAGAGAGTCGTGCTAGTCTTACAAAACCAGGGTGCTGTCTGGCCACACACATACGTGGGTCCACGTAATTTATTTATTTTTTTAATACGTGTGGGGCCCCTAGACCCTATAAATGCCCTATGAGAAAAAGGATACTCAATAGTAGATAGATCATTTATATATGCAACATACATACTAGAACCAAATGGAAAAAAAAAATGGTATTTAAATTAAGCTAAACATTACATAAAATATGTTAAGAAAGTACGAACAAAAGTCCCACGTTTAATCAATATAATGATCGAGGATTTATAAAGGAATCGAGCTACTCCTGATGATAGGTTAATGTTGTGAGATTGAACTCCATATACCAATAACGCGTGGTCCCTAGTTAGTCTTGATAGTGGGAGATATGTGATGGTGCGATCTGAAGTTGGATCACGATAGAGCATGCAATCCCACAAATTGATTATGACTTAATGAAATATTTTTGTTAAAGATAGATAGATGGAATGTCGGCTTAGAGGGATCAAGTACTTCGTTCAAGAAGGTTTCATAGAAAGTGTGAAAATTTGTCTGAAATGAACTTGATTTGAAGATGATGTCGCAAAGAATTAGACTAATTCCAAATTAGAAATTTGGACATTTCACCCACATACATGGAGATAAATTTCTCTGGTATATGATATATATCCCTATTTAATAAATTAATTAATTTAAAAGTTTGGTAGTAACTTAAGCTATGACTAACTAAGTTACGTTATTTTTAATTATTATATTATGTCCTTGTTCGGTAAAAAAATATATATATAAAAATTGGATTTTTAGTAGATTTCGGTAAAAATTAATGAAATGTGTGTTTGAAAGTTGTGAATTTTATGGAATATACAATTAAAATTAATTGTTAATTTTTATTTAAATCAAAATTAATATTTTAATCCTCACCAAACGATGGCTACGATTCCAAGTTTCAGTACAAGTCAAGTTGCCTGCTGGTAAAAAAATTCAAGTCATTCTATAGTTGATGAGTCGATCCTTTATCAGTTTTTCAAAAATATGTGATGACAAAATTGAATTCAATAAGTTGGCCTGAATTTACGTTTGAAGTTTGAACACCTACAAAACGTAAATTTCTTCAAACTCGAAAGCAGATAGAGAAACAATATTAAACACCTTTGACATTCAAACAACATATGCAGCTGTGGTGGTCCATCTGGTTATCCACATAACAATCAAACATTGAGAAATAAAAAGTAAAAATATTGCAAATCATAAACTGAAACTTGCATTATTTCTTACAATTATCAGAAGTGATTTGACAAGTTCAAATTACGTTCCTTAGGCACGTAATTTTTGTATCATCATCATTCATATCACATAACACTCTGGCGAGGAATGCAATGGCGGGCCGGTGATTGAACTCTGGTTGAAACACTTCTTTTGGTTGCGGAAGGAGGTGAGGTAGAGGTGGAGAAACCAGAGTCTGATCGGAAAAGTTGCACCTCCGATGT